TCACCAATCTCAACCGGCACGGGGCGGCGCCATCAGTGTCTGATTTGGGCAAGAGATCATGCAGCCCTCACTGCGATGCTTGAGTAAAAATGGGTGAAAGGTTTTGCACTTCGCAAGTGGCATTCTATCACATGATCATAATTATGTATATCATTATTGTAGCTTGCGCCGCACCATCGGTTGGAATGTCGTATCAACATTTCGAAGAATCCTCTCAGCACAGCGCATGCAAGCATTTGACCCTTCCAATACGCGATGTATGTCCCGGCTATTTCGGCCTACTGTCAGCATGATAGCGTGTCCTTTAATTTCGAAGAGAAGTGAAGGATATGCTACCTTTGGCGCACGAGAAGGAGGCAGCCGCCCCCTTGCCCCTGTTGGCAACGCCCCTGGGTGCCTCCCTGGGGTCAGTACCCACAGCTTTTAAAAGATCAGGGACAAAAGCCCTGGCAGGGTGAAGGTAGGAAAGACATGGATGAAAGGGAGCCTGTTCCGATTAGTTGAGCGAAATGTTACGACGTAAAGAATTCAAAAGGAAGGAGATGTTGAGTTGTTGCCAATGTGCATGTAAGTTTGGATCCCTTATCGCGGCCAGGATAGGGAAGGGACATCTATGATCCACTTAGGTTTTTCAGTGGGGTGAGGAAATATAAAGACGCAAGCGGCAAACGTTCAGATACATTGTGTGTGATTATTCTGGCACATTTCTGGAGCCTCCATGCATTACTGGTGGTCTCGTTATCGCCTTTGGCCAAATCAAGCGACCTCGTGGTCGAAAAATTATTTGTCCCATGTTGACAAAATTACGCCTTAAAGTGTAAGAAGTTCATGAAAAATATATTTTGAAAATATACCAGGCGCTTACACGGAGTTTTCGGAATAATTTAGGAACATAAAAGACAATTAAGGTGCTCGGATGTGTTTCACTGACAATGATGCGGAGAGTGCAGGTTAAAACCTTCGCGTTAGAACGGTTACGTCAGCTTTTGCCAACCCCGCCGGCGCTGGCGGAGCGCGCTCTCTGGAAACAATGCCGCTATGTAGCCATAAAGGGATTAAATATTTAACAAAAAAGTTCGATATGCTGTGTTTCGAGCTTTACTCAAGATGCAATTTCCAACGATGCCCTTATTTTTACCTCGCCCGACCGTGTATAAGCCAGACGGGGGGGGGGGGGGGGGAGGGATGATGCGCTAGTCAGTTGTACATGGCGGCCGTCCCTCAGTCGGGCATAGGTTAGTGGACCTCATTTCTAGGCAGGCCGAAATTAACCATTATGGCGGTGTGACAAAAGGGGTACAAAACAACGACGCGCGCGGCAAAAGGTATATGTAAAAAGGTATATGTACAAAACCGCCCAATCTCACCGCTTGTGATCTGTATTCTGATGCCATGGCACAAGTGAAAAGTTCCACCTCAGGCATCACCTGAGCCACTTATGTAACCTGCTTGGAAATTAAGGTTTGCACACGGGGTGTGAAGTAAATAAAAAAGGGTACCACAAATGTCGCGCAACGCGTTTTAGCATTTTTGGCCAAGTTCGGAAAGCCTTGAGGGAGACAAATCTCCTCGCCACTCTGGCCGAGCCAGGTATAGACTGCCTTTATTTTAAACAGAAGTTCTATCATCCAAAGCTGTTCGATGTGGTCATGTGACCAAGTGCTCATAGCGTTGATGATGAAATGCAAATGTAATTTAGTACATTGGGTATTCCTATATTTACTGAAAGATTGGGTTTTTCTATATTTCCTTCATGAAAACTAACCGCCAGACATATCTCTCGAATTCGGTGGACATGGGCCCAGAACTCATACTAGAATGACGATTTCATACAAGGTATCATTATGCCAAGCAACACTGTCAGCTGCGTCATGAACAAAATAAAAGAAGCACAAAACTGTAGGGTTTTATCTATCCGCATTCCAGAGCTATCGTGCATGGCCAAGCACGGAGGCGGAAGCGACGGTAACCCCGTGACTATTGTGGAACGAGAGCGTAGCGGAACAACCTTCTCACTCGGGACTACAGCGAAAAGCAGGCACAACTGGGCATTATCAGTTTTCACCTATTTCGAGAAATATACAGTATAAAGACATGTTTCCTGGCGTGTCGTGCTTCAGCCGCCTCAAAGCGCCTTCCATCAGGCTTTAACCAATGCACTGGACTGAAGACATTGAACACGCTTAGAGAACCTTGGCGATGACTTTCCCCGGGAAGAAGGCTGGTGGAAATGGGGAACTGTCCCCTCTTGTGCGAAGATTGGAGGGAAACGCATCCCCGTCCCACGACGGCACGGTTCCTGCCAACAGGGTTGCATGCCAAGCTATCTTGCACTCACCACTTTCGACGTATCTTCTTCACTTAAGGCCTTTTCAGTTGCCGCACTGCCCGCCCATACAGAGTCTGCTCACTCATCATGCGCCAGTCAGCAGCAACTGGCGGCAAGTGGAGACCGGTGAGCACACGGGGACCGGTGAGCTGGTGAGAATCGGTAAGCAGGCACCGCCCATTGCATCGACAGCGTATCAGCGGCGGCTGCGGAGTAGATGAGCCGCCTTCGTATTCTGGTCGGATAATCGGTTAAAAGTCGGTACTAATAACAAAGAGCTCGCGTGGTCATTGCGTATTTCCCCGGCTACGAACGGATCCCATTTGGGATCAGGTTGTTTGAAGCAGTTCATGCCATGTTTGGGACTGAGAACTTAGAACATGTAGGAGTGAGAACGCTGTGCTCGAAAGTCCGTAGAGATGGGGATGGGCTGCTTTTATCTCTCTTCCCTTTTGCTTGCAAGGGAGCGCGACACGCGACATCGAGCACCCCTGTATGGAGCGCCAGCGACTGTAGGGGCCAAATCAGCTCCCAAGAACACGGCTCCACCGGGATTTGAAGCCGGGCTCTCTCATCGAAGCCAAAGGTGTTGGTTGCTCTGCCAGCAAAGGTTAAATACAACGAAATCTGTTTTTAACAGCAACAACAAAAACAACCACTGGTTGCATCAGATTAAGACAGACAGACTTACAGCGTCAGGTAGGTGTGTGACTGAAAGGGTGAATGTAACCTTAGCAGGTTATACGTTAAGATCTAGGAGATCTAGGTATAGCCAAACAAAGTTGTAGAAAGTCCCTCTATAGCAACATTTTAAAAAAATTGTACAAACTCTATCGGTCTTAGGATCTCATTTGTAGAAGGATGTGTGCGGAGCTTGAGGAAGGCCACTTCGATGGGCCCTTGTTGGCCCGATGTTTTGGTAAACCCGATAACGTACTAACCGTCCCACAGGCCGTCTCTATGGTCTAGGGGAAAGCTGCTGGACTCGAAACCCAGCGGCACTTGGTACGAGTCCCAGCGCGAGCGCATTGTTTGGTCCGACTGAAATGGAAAGGTCAGCTGGCAACTGGCCAACAAGGATGAGCTCAGGCCCAGGGCGGCTATGTCGTAGCATTGTGTGACACGTAAAACCCTCTGCATTCCTGTCTGGTGGAAGAGCGGCGGCAAGATTATCCGTTGAACTGGACGGCATGACTTCGGTGGTGGGTTCAGTGTGCACGCAACAAGCAGGTACTCTAGCAGGTACTCTGAAACCAGTCATCCATGCAAACAATTCCGAATAGATTTATAAAAATGATAGGTTGATTTCTTCTGGTATTTGCTTGCTAGTATCAGTAGCAGGGAATGCTAGAACTGATCTTGTCAAACGTGTAATGTTTATTTGGAATGTTGACAAATTTGTCTCGACAGGTGTAAAAGGCACTGTCCATTGCTCAATTAGTGACATAACATGCCTTGAATTGAGATGCTGTGTGCTCATGGACTGATGATTCCTTTATGCCATCTGCTGCGTGGTAAATGATCCCATTTATGATGCGATGCTGGCTTCTTTGCCGTGTTTGATTTATGGGTGGACATTTACCCTGCACGTTTGTATTTGTATATGATTATCTTGAGATTCAAGAGCAAGATCTCTTGACTTACACTCAACTTGATAGCGACGTCTGAGGCGCGATACGATTTGATTACAGCTTTGACTCTACGATTACGATTTGAGCGAAGACAGTATGCTTTTCAACGCTATCAAGAGCCACACAAGAAGACATGACTTTGACCCTTACTCTGAAAGGGGTGTGCGGGGGGGGGGGGGGGCAAAGGCGTTTCGACATGACCGATCGCGAACGGTGGGAACGACATCGGTACATTCAAGGAAACCTGCACGATCGATTTTTGCTTCAAACGCACAGAACCACACACAAACATACTTAAAATTTACCAATAAACCGTTCCAAATATGTTTAATACTGCTACGGTCAACAGCGCTGTACATATTGATATGCAAACCTAATTAATTCAATTTTGAGGAGCATTTCTTTTTAAACTAGTGTAGAGCCTCACTATCTTCCGAACGATACAAAACTGGTACAAACTATAAAAAACTTGATGCAAATACGAAAATGGGAACAATTTACCGTTGCTGTCTTTTTGCACGAATCTCAACTATCCTTAGTTTGGAAGGGACAGATGTTAGTATTATATCATCCCGATTCGTTCTCGTTATAGCAAACCGCGGATTCGGGAGGGCGTTAAACTGGGGCACAGAAGTACGTGGACGCTTTGCATCCCCTTTCCCAGTGTGAGAAATCCCATATGACGGCAACATCCTATGAAGATGCACTCTACCATGACAATGCATTATGACTTACATCAGCCGATGAAAAGCCCCAGAAATCTGTCCTCAACCAGCGTGAAAATGTCGGCACTTGCTTTTATGTCGATAGGTGAGCGTCCGAACATGGCGCCGCAATCGCCGCACTTCCGGTGGCCGGCCAACATATTCTGCAGACTTCCGGTGTGTGGCGTGCTGGCGGTCACGTCCGGCTTCCTGCTGCATTTCTCCATGAGCTGCATGCTCACAATAGGCAACCTCACCACCTACTTGACATCGTACCTACGCGTACGCGGCAGTCAGGACGTGGGCTAGGCTCAGGCTGTGTGGGTGAACTCGATGATGAGTCTGACCGAGGGCCTTATCGTGCTTCCGGGCAGCGTGCTCTACGAGCGCTGCGGCCCCCGGCTCGTCGTACTGCTCGGCAGTGTGGTGGCCAGCGGAGCCACCGCGCTGACGAGTGTCTCCGTCAAAACGTCCCTGATGTGGGTGATCATGACGTACGGCGTGATGAACGGCGTGGGAATGGGACTGGTGTACACCGTGCCGTTGCTGGTCGGCTGCAAGTGGTTCCCAAACAGCAAGGGCAGGGTGAGCGGAATATTGACCGCCGGCTTCGGTCTCAGTGGCATGGTCTTCACCGCCATACAGACCAGCTTCATCAACCCTGATAATGTGTCTACGGAGGAGGACGGCTTCTTCCGCGATGCGGCGCTGCTGGATCGCGTTCCGAAGGTGTTTCTGCTGCAGGCTGGGCTTTGTGGCCTTCTACAGATTATATGCGTTTTCGGGCTTCATAATCCACCAGCGCGGAATGTAGGCTACCTCTCATCGGAACTCAGCAGCAGCGAACAAAACAACCTCCCCGACGTAGATTTGACTGAACATGAGCCAGACGACGTGATCAGTGAGGAAAATCCTGAAAAAGAAGGTACATTCCTTGCTTTAAGAGAAGCGCTGAGAAACATGGCGCTGTATTAGCTGCTCCTCGCATATGTCTTAAACAAGTTTGCCTTCGATATAGTTGCATCCCTGTGGAAGGCCTTTGGCCAAACCTTCATCAAAGACGATCGCTTCCTCGAGCTTGTTGGTTCGGGTTCCTCCATCTGCAAAATGCTGGGTAGCATAACGTGGGGATCCCTGTGTGACGCATTCAGCTGCAAGCCAGTCATGCTTTCCCTAACAGGTTTGTTCTGCACCCTTATGCATACTCTACAGGCCAAGTCACGGGCTGGTAAGGTCATGTACCTTATTTGGGTTTGGGGCATATCGTTTTGCTTTTCAGGAACAATGCCCGCCGTGATAACCGGTACGGCAGACACATTCGGCCAGGACAGCGTAGGTCAAATTTACGGCGCCAATTATCTGGTAGGAGCCCTGGCCTCACCCCTACCCGACCTGCTGACTAATCTTCTGCTGGACAGCTACGGCTACTCACTGATGTTCTTTCTCGGGGGTATCGTCTCCACTGGAGTCTTTGCATTCACGCTTGCATTCAATAAACGTTCGGTACCATGCGTTTCTTGACCTTTTGGGGTGCACGACGGTGGCTGCATGGCGAGCCGTGCACTTGTGCGACCCCGCAGTTGCCATCTGGCAGGGCTGGCATAGTCTCCTCATGTGGCAGAATACAGCTGCACGTGTAAGTGGTAGTAAGACGTGATGTTACGCTGCATGTATGTTTGAAATAGGTTGGTAGAATAAGTTGCGTTGGCGATGCACAAATCCACTTACCAATAAATGACAATCATCTGTTCAATACATTACAACTGCTTTGTGCAGGCATCGTTTCTTTGTCTCCCCCACGGGATATCCAGACAGACAAAGGCCGGTGTCGAACACGCCAGGAAGCGATTGTTTCGTTCGTGAGCCTATGAATGTGGCGCACGTGAAAATTTGGGGAAAAAGCAGTCATCAGTGAAAATTATCACAATCAGTTCACAGCGTCGAAATTAATTTTTCGCGCAGCCGTGTCATGTCATGTTATGTCCTGTCGTGTCGTGTCGTGTCGTGTTGTGTCGTGTCGTGTCATGCCATGTTATGTCATGTGCCGTGTCGTGTCGTGTTGCCAAAACATGCGTTGCGTTCCAAGCGTTTGCGTTGTCAAACGTATGGTAGGTGGCGCCCAAGCGCCGTAGAAACGGAAGCTGATAAAGGCTATGTGGTCGGCGTGATGAAGGTGTGGTGTTGTAACCAACGCCGTGTCTATGCTCACCACCCATAAGTTTGCATTGCTGATGAATTTGGGCCAATCTGCACCGCAAAACTTCGAATCACCGCGCGACAAAACAGTTTCTTACCCAGAGCCGTCCAGCAAGGAGCGAAATTGCTAGACACAAAAGTCGAAGACGAGGTTTCCGTTGATTTGAGTTGAACTTCTACGCTGGTTGGTTGGAACTTCTACGCAACAGGCTCCGGTCAGCATGTGCAGTTGTTCTGAAGCCCGTCATAGCAGGCGATCGAAATTGGCGTGCTTCATTCCAGAAACAAAAGTCAAACCTGGTTTTCACGAGTTTAGTTGGTGGACGCTGGTATTCCATTACTAGGGAGCAAAAGAGCGTGAATCACAATCAGCAATGTGTATTTGGTCAATATGTACAAAAGTACACGGCAATGACACCAATAATGCTGCAAACGTTCACAAAAGATTCCCGTGACAACGCAAACAAAGAGCTTTACTTCCCACGGGACAAAGGGTATGCAATCGCTGGGAGTGGACAGCAGAGCCCACAAACAACTGCAGCCACAGGTACAACACAAGGCGGAAGGAATGCAAATATGTATATCTAATACGCGCTCATAATTTAAATACACTACGACGTGTACGCTGCATATAGGTTTAAAGACATGACGCACTCATAGGACATGATAAATACGAAGCCAGTACGCAGGAAGGTATGCGAGAATATTGATTTGCTAATATTTCAAAATAGACCAACCAAAACACTTCGAATCCCGTTTCTTGCGTTGCCAAAGCTGTCGACATAGCTACCCGACGCATTGGAAACATATCCGGCTCGTTAAAACTGGGACATCCACAAAACGCTGCTGTTATTCACTTGCTGTAAGTCAATGGCCGCAACCGCTGGCGTGTGTTCCGCTCCAGTGTCATTCCAGATCGCAATTCGCTACTGAATCGTGACATACGGCATACGGATTGGCAACAACCCGGTCTATTGGCACTGACAACATCGAAAAAATACGTTCTGGACAGCACAGGCAGAAGCGCCAGCTGACCAAGCACCTGGTCGAGCAGAAACGCGACTGAGAAATACAAACGCTCAAACAATATGGCCGTCGGCAGCGCTGGAATGCAGACAGCAGGCTGCCCGATTGACTCATCGGGGCTCCATGGCAGCGCAAACCAGGCAAAAACCATCCGCACGTATTGCACGCGACAAACACGACCGATGACTAGCACGAAAATGTCAGCGACCTCAGGCGAAGCAAAAGCACGTGCGCCATTCGCGGCGGGCGTCCCGCGTCGAGCACTGAGCCGACCACAACCACTCATAGGCCCGCCGACAGCTCCACTGAGCGGCGCAGCCAATCACCGCTCACAGCCGCAACCCGCGCGCACGTGTCCAAGGCAACGCTTTGGGAAAGAATCACTCCTGAGGTCGGCCAGGCGGCGACGTTTGTACTCCAGTGACGTCACGCGGCGCGTCACGCGACCGCCGGCTGCAGCGTCGGCCATCTTGTTTCGCTAAGTCGCATTGTTTTCTGATCTGGAAGATCCAGCGTGTGCGATCAGACTAATCAGCGGGGAAACTGATGAAGCTGATGAAATACCAGCTGAAACTATTCTGGCGCGTTTTTCACAAAGCAGAACACGGGAGCGGTGCAATGACCTCATTTAAATGTGTTAACGTAATTGATATATGGTCCGAAAAGTTTTGTGGAGATGCACATTTGCCAAGACTTAAATTCGCAATCTCTCGCTCGGAAACTTCTTATGCGAAAAATATGTTTAAAACTCCAGGAAACCAATTCTGTTGCTTAAAACGGCAAGCCTTCGAGGATGAGAACATCCATCACGCATCATCTGGAGACATTTGGCAAGAAACGCAATGATCTGCTGAGCGAACAACAAACATATTCTTGGGACCGCACCTCTCACGCAGCAAACTGTTGTAAATGTCAACACCCGAGGGCAAACCAATCCTCTCAACAGAGGAAGACTACAGCAGCACAGCTGCATTGATACCTACTTGAGAACTTTGAGTCGATCCTTCTCGAAGCTGTTCTCGGGATGCTCACACTCATATGACGCGAGCCAAAGCGCTGGAACGGAGGAGGAAAATACATCACAAATCACGAAAACGTCGCAGCACAACAACGCATTAGCTCTAAGAAGAATGCGAACGTCATTTTATTGTTTTACGCAACGGAAGCTTAGCATGAGCGGTGCATGATTGTAGGTGGTATAACACTATTTCAAAGGTTTGGTATCTCAAATATAGGAGCTGACATTTGTGGTCTGTTTGGACAGGGCATCTTCCACTACAGTCCGTGGTGTCAACCAATTGACGTAAATTTGTGACTTCTATCCATTGCAACCATTTGCAGAACTGGTTAAGCAATGGGTGGTGACTACTTCCAATCAATACAGCAAACGCGTGAACAGAGAGAAGTATTTGGCATTTAGATGCACGTGTTGAATTACAGATAAATGAGCGTATTTTCGCTAACACCGCAAGCCATGATTGCCACTAACCATCGCCTAGGAATCAAGAGTGATTCCACACCTGAGTACGGCTAAAATATCGCGTGAATGCAGTAACCGAAACATCGTCCGCTATACACGAGCATGACATTGTCATGCAACTAGGCTGTACCAAAGCTCAATAAAGGGAACGACAAGGACCTAGGGAGGGAGAATGCTTGTTTCCAATACACGTTGCATCAAGTGAGACAGCGGAATCCGTAAGATGTTGACACAACTCGTCTGTCAGCATTGACATCATACAACGCAATCGCAGACCTCGTTTCCGTTCCCGTTCCATGTGCCACCACAGAACTTGTCCTGTCTCCCACACCAGGTGACTTACCGTGTTCGTCGTATACGGGTCCCGTCATCAGGTACTGTATGACCTTGGCGTCCTTGACGAAAGGACACGTGACCTGTTTCCACGCGATGAACTCGGTCACCTGCTTGGCCAGTTGCCAGAACTTCTCGAAGTTGATGTGTCCGTCCACCAGCCTGCGGCATAGGATGTGATTTCGTGTGAGTATTTGGTCTCCGGCAGGTCAATCGGTCACAGTTACATGGTGACACCACCATGACGATTATGAAGTAACCACAGCGAACATCGCGTTACCACGATGACCATGACGTCACAATGGAAGCAAGCTGGTCAACTGAATAGTTGGAAAGATTGTACGCAAGGCAGCTATGAGTGGGTAGGACTAAAGCTCCGAAACATGACAATGCTTGATGACCCGAAAACCGCACCAATCTACTGCTGTCACGTGATAACGCAAGACCGTAACTGTGAGTGTCACGTAACCCCGCTCTAACAAGCTTGCAAACAATCTTGTGCCGTGGCGACACAGTAGTGCCCCAAGGCCGCGCTCAGCCGTACGATGTTCTACGTAAAGTCATATCTGAAGCATTACACTTTCAGTAGGGACCTGCGGCCGAAATTCCGCTGAAGTCTCAGTTCACTTTCAGTTCACTTTCAAGTCAATTAAATGCGACAACACTTCAAGTCAAGACAGACCTTCTCCTGATCACCCCATGTGAGATTTCCCGTGCGCCCTATCCCCGCAAATGACTGTCTTTAAGCATTAAAAGTGCAGCGATAACACAATAAGGCCTTAGGAACCCTGTTTCTGAAATCCTGTGCCGACACTGTTCTGGGATGTCATACTGCGCACCCCAACCAACACTGTCCTGGGATGTCTTACGGCGCAACCTCACCCAACATTGTTCTGGGATGTCATGGTGTGCACCTCCAACCACGATACAGCCTACTCAGCACGCCGAAAACGCGCCGGCTTAATGAAGCACATCACCTCGTGCCGTGGCGGATCGGTCAAATACGCGTCCTTTATTTGAGTTATCGATTTATTGTGATCGCGTGACGTCATGGTGATTGAGTCACGTGCACTGACCGGTTAGCGCATCCTTCGTTGAGGAAGTACAGGTCCTTGACCAGCAGAGAGAAGAACGGGATGACTATGCGCTGTCGCCCGTCTGAGCAGCAGCCGGAGTTGGTGGACCGCCACATAGCCGCCTGCGGGGGGGGGGGTCACAGACGTGATGTGACGAAGTCTTCGAACTTACGCGGCGCCAAAGAAAACGTGTGCTTGTTCATTAAGAGTTATCAAAAACACACTGAAAGAAACGGTAGAGTACCAGGAGGTACTTCTTAAACGACATCCAGGAATGCTGTGAATATATTGGTGAATGTTGAACATTTAAAGCACGTCACGAACGAACGAACTTGCGCACAAATTACGACGACTAAACTAACGAGTATGCAAAACGCATCCCGTCCCTGTACTCCGACATCCGCTGCATCCATCCACGCCTTCCGTCACACACGAGCAATCCTCCTACGATTCCTCACCTGCAGCGTCCTCCGGTAGCTGAGGAAGTTTGAGGACGGCGACATCTGCTGCTCCAGGACCGACAGCTGAGAGCTGTCCACGCGGGACCACTGCGGGGGCGAGACAAAGGCCGACCATCAGGCGCACAACCCATAAACACGCGTCTTCTGCTTGGGCGGTACGGTTTTTAAGTTTCACCTATACTCAGCAGCAAGTTGGCAACCGATCAGATCGGCAAACTGGCCCGCACGCTTGTCATACTGTACTTGCGCCGAGACATTCCGCTCTGCGCATGGAATGCTGTGTGGATCCCCATACTGCATGGTGAGAGATCAGCATGAATATTGCTCATTCCACAAGACACCATTCTAAGTCTCCTCGACAATCTTGTAATAATCTAAGACCAGTGAACTGTGATAATGACAGTGACATAGACAGCCCTTCTCCGAAGATGTCTCGGCTGCTCAGTTTCGGGAGTGCACAACAAGCCCCGTCTGTTGCCCCCCCCCCCCCCCCCCACGTCAAACGTCTGTATTACAGGCCGGGTGTCATCTACTGAATCATCCCAAATTAACTCCGGCCTCCGCGTGTGCTGCGACGTTACGGACCAGATGCCGGCGTCATCTGACACCCTCCCGCCGTAACGACAGTTGGTCGTACTGTACGACACCATCTACGTCTTCCATGCGACAGGCCGTGCTACGGTAGCGAGTGTGACGCTGCTTCTCCCGGTCGTCCAAAGGTGTCTCTCGTTCCGACCCGAGACGGTTTTCAATTGGTGGGTTCGGTTTGGCGCGCCGACCGGGCGGTTGGTGGGTTATCGGCCGATACTCTGGCGGGGAGTGTGGCCGTGGTGTCGACCCTGATCCTGGTACAGGCCCTGACTCTGGTATAAACTCCGACTCTGGTATAGACCCTGACCCTGATGTACACTCTGGCCCTGGTGTACACACTGACCCTGGTGTACACCTTGACCCTGGCAGAGAACCTGACCCTGGTACAGGCCGTGATCCTGGTACAGATCCTAACTCTGATGCAAGCCTTGGTACAGACCCTAACCCTGGTACAGGCCCTGACGCTGGGACAGACAAGCTTGGGACAGACTCTGACCATGGTACGAACCCTAACCCTAGTACAGACTTCGATCCTGGTACATACCCTGATCCTAGTACAGACTCTGATCTTGGTACAGATCCTGACCAAGGTATAAATCCTGGCTCTGGTACGGCTTTAACCCTTGTGACGACTCTTAACCCTGATACGGGCTTTAACCCTGGCACAGACGCTGACCCTGGTACAAACCCGGACCACGGCATCGCCCCCTCCCCCTCCCCCATCGCGGGGACGGTCCAGCCAACGTCGCAACAGTGCCGTTACGGCCGTCAAACGGGGGCAGCCACAGCCGCCGCCGCTACCATGACTCGTATGTATGCTAATGGGGTCCTCGACGCGCGCAATTAGCCTATTGAAACGACGGCTGCAACGGCGACTGTGTCTCGCGAGACTTAGTCACGTGCTGGGGACAGACAGGCTGACGTCTCGGTGACATCGGTATGGCTCACTCTCGAGAAAAACATACGGTCCTTCGACAGTTGAAAAGCAGGGGCCGGCACTGGCCACACCCTAATTAGAGGTGAGCCTGAAAGCAAAAAATTATCCAGGATACCATTAACATGAAACGCTTTGGGATCCTGGATCCATCCTTACGATCCAGGCGCATTTTTGCTGCCTTCCATGTCTCTATACAGAGAACGCGCGAGGCATGGCCTGACCGACCGTGTCGTTACGACTAAAACTAAAACTAATCTGAAACAACTAAAATTTTTTAAAAAACTAAAACAGCCGCCGACCAGTGTCGCCAGAACCACCGAGATCCGCCGCTCTGAGACGAGCGGGCGGGCGGGGCAAGCGATGGTCGGCCCGGGCGTCATGGCCGCCGGCGAACACAGCAACTCATCAGCGAAACTGGCACGCAGCGGCCCGCCCTCGAAACTGCTGATGGGAGTTCCTGCGGGTCCGCTTGACAGCGTTAGCAGCGGCAGTGAGCGGACGGTCGCGCTCGGTGGCTGCCGCCTTGCTGAACCGAGGACGGGTGTCTTGTTGGGTCCCCGACTCCGGATATCAGCGCATCGCACATCATCGCCACCATCGTCATCCTCACGGGGAGTTAAGATTGCGAGTTGTAATGAAGTCATCTATTGTTGTTGTCGTTATTGGGACTTCACGACGCATCCAACTGTTGAGGCTGTGTGGCGTCGCCTGCCTTTCACCCGGCAGGCAGGGCGGGAACCGCGGGGAATCCAAGCCCGTACCTCTGGTTTCCCAGACGCGCAGTGGTTAATGCAGACGCGTCAACCACTACACTACCGGACCCCGGAAGCGCTCTGTTCTCGGGCAGGCATTGTACGGTGTTAGAGCTAAGCTACACAGTACCAAAGTTGTGGAGAGGAGCTTAAGTTGTCGAACGTTGAACGAGCTGCAGTTGAAGGACGCTTGAGCGCAGGCAGGTGAAATTAAACGGTGTTGACATTACTGCAAGTGGCTTCTATTCAAGTAAGTTAGACCAGCAGGGGACTAAATAACAATCGAGTTGAGGTTGAAGGGTTCCGGAGCTATTGACGAGGGTTTCACTTGAAGCAAGTTCTAGTAGCAGGGAGCTGAAGGTTTCTGTTAACTCCTGCGCAGTCCAGTCGGTTTTCTGCTGGCTGACGACATCACAGCATGGCGTCTGGCGACGTGCCATTCTCGCGTCCTTACCGTCTTCTTCAGCCGAGAGACGGGCGACATGTTCAGCCCGGCGATGATCGCCATGAGGGAATTGAAGTTGCCGGTGTTGAAGCACTCGCGACCGACTTCGATCCAGAACTCGATCAGTCGAACGCGCTGCTTCTTCTTGACGTGCTGAAATGGGAGAGGATGCGTGTAAAAGAAAGTGTGCGAATATGCAGAGGGTGCACAACAGGAATGCAAGAAAGCGACGCGCAGAACAGCATACCATGTGAAGCAGCGTGAAAAGCGCACCATGAAAAGAGGGCCGTTTGTCAAAACAATTTCTAATACTGCACAGGTTATGTCAGAGCAACATATATACAACGACTAGCTCAGCAGAACACCACATAGATATAAAACAGTAGTAATAGCCTTATTCCCCGAAAAAAAACGGCGGAACGGAGGTATTGATGGGTTGATATCTCGGCAGCATGCCTCTACCGAAACAATGACAGGAGACTATTGTTTAGGACAAATACAATTATGTTATTGCTTCGATAAAGATATGTTGCCGAAATATCAGTCCATCTATATCTCCATTCTCCTGGTTTCTCTCCGAAGTATTGCTACTGTCCTATCTATGTGAATAATATTCCTCGCAAATGCACTGAACAACTTACGTAATTTAGAATACGACATTGCGTAAGTTTTTTAACTGTATTTGCAAGGAACATTATTGATATAGATAAGACAGTGGTAATAGCCGTATTCTCCATCATTATCTTCCTTCTCCTGCTTTTTACCGAGGAATAAGGCTATTACTACTTATCTATCAGAACGCCCCATGCTTCATACCTGGTGTGTGGCATCACATAGCAGAAAGTGTCACATAACATGGTGGACATAACTGCCATCACATACTATGTATGGGCAATGCTCACCGCGCAGCTAGCAAAACACTTAAAATGACGTGCGGCAACAACGTTCTACACGGGGCCGCTCCTCTCTCCCTTCTCGACAACCACCTATGAGTCAACTCACCACCCTGTAATAACGTGACGATTTGAGAACCAAAAATAGCCTATTGCTTCGAACGCAGAGTAGCGCAGAAGACACAAACAACGCTCACTCAGGCAGCTGGACGACTCGCCAAACTTGAGCTGCGAAGTCGTATCGCAGCTGATACAGTTCCCGCCACCATGGTGCAGTTCCTGCCACCCTGGTGCAGTTCCGCCAACCCTCCCGTGTCACCAGACAAAACGACACGGGCAGAGGCCCGGCTACCGAACGGCACCGCACTAGATGCGCTTAGGTCCGGTCTGACTTTGCTCGGGAAGCCGAAGTCAAAGTGCAGAAAACAGACTGGAAACGGAGAGGTCTTGGGATCGAGACTCTCCACAGGCAATTTTATGGTTTCCACCAATTCTATCTGCATGGCGGAAGTTATCTTTCTGACTCCATCCTTGGGACAGCGAAAGTTCCTCACCGCGCAGACTTCGGTGGCGACCATGTAGCTGAGCCTGTTGAACCACTGGATGTAGTTCTCCAGGTTCTTCGTCGTCTTCAGGTCTTTATAGGCGGTCTCAATGCGAGGCGACTCCTGTGGAGTCAGTGGAGGGAGTCAGTGAGCGGGCAGTCAGTGAGTAAAGACGCCACGTGCATCCAGTGACGGTGGGTCTATGTTGCACTCGTGCGCCAGATACGCCAAAGAAGACAGAACTGCAAGCTGATACTGCAGTCCTCAGAATCAAGCATTGATACCCTGTTCTGATAACAACAAAAACGGCTCAGCAATTGGTCGGTGTTACTGATACCCTGTTCTGATAACAACAAAACCGGCTCAGCAATTGGTCGGTGTTACTTTATTATTTACATTACCGTTCACATGCAACCACACGCATCATGTATGAAATGAAAAGGTACTAGTGTTATGCAAGACAGTGTTCATTTATGCAATAGCGCGTTATTTGAGGCTTAGTTGTGTTACAAACGGGGGACAAGGAATCGCCTTGCCTCACACTTCTCCACACAAGCACATGCACTGGAAGTGCTATACAACACACATCATGTTCCAGTCCGCTGGGGACATACATGTGCATGAAAACGTGATACTGTCATATGTAGAAGCTATCACAAAAACCACGTCCCACCTGGTAAAGGATCATTTAATCTCCCACTCCGACCACTCAGCCTTCGAAGACCGAAGCCATTTCGACGAACCGCCGGAAGGAGCCATGCCATCAGCCGGCTGCCTCCTTTGATTAAGTGCGGACGGAAAAAACTCGCGGCGGTGTTTCCGCCAGCCGCGCAGACGAATCGCATCGAAGCGCGCTGGCCAACCGGTGGCACTGGCAGTGGCTTCCCACAGCCAATATGACGCCACGCTGTAGTCCATGGGTCAGGCAGACGTAGGATCGTTTCCAATGTCGTTTTACATCGCCGTTCTGGGATACGACTGATGAGCTTCCTTGTTCATAGCTAGAGTCCTAAGCCGATGAAGCCTTTGCGGTTTTCCCGGCTCTCACTGTTCCTCCACGGCGGCGGTGGGCTGTGCTAAACAGAGCTTTGAACCTGTGCGAGGATTCAAATCTGTGGACACTGCCAGGTAGGTACGTGCCCCTCATCTAAGTACATATGCTTGCAATAACACGCTGCGACGTACAAAAACCTGATTATGCGGTTCCTGAAAAACGTCTAATTCACGACGCATGATAAGCACGGTTCTCCAGCACCATACTCATGCATGTTTTTTTCCATTACTCGCTAAGTATTATACTGCCGTTTCCCAGCATTCGGATAGACCATACACTTCTTCGGAAAAGTTGCAGAACAACCCCACATGGCGTTACATACCGCTGAACCACCTGTGCCATTCCCCCTCCCCCCCCCCCCTACAACCCCACCTTTTCCCGAGAGCTCGTAACTCGAACGCCCTCCTACACCCGCTGACATTTTCCGACCGCTGGCGCGCGGTGTTTTGCCCACGGGCACCTCCGATTGCGCGGAGTCGTCGGGCGGGGGCGGGCAGCGCCGCCGCCGTCCGAGTCTTATGGAGAAGCCGCCGTCAGCGAACGTCAGACCGAAATTGAACGACAGTCTAGGCCCCGTAGGACCAACGTCGTCACCGATGGGAGGGCACACTGCGCGCTTCCGGGATTGGATGCGTTCGGCGCAGCGCGGAGAGCGTTGTGAACGCTGTTGAGGCCAAATGGAGTCCCACGAGAGGCGCTCCACGGACAAGATGGCGAGGAGACATTTCTTACGCGTCGGGAGTAACAAATTTATTTTTTGAACCGTGCGCCAAACCCAATATCAAGCAGTTCGTGATACATCGCTTCACTGAAACGATCAACCACATGCACGCATTAAGACTAGCCTCCATGCGTGTGCGTGTGTGGTACACGCCTGTGTCTCCTGTTCACACCAGGAAGCTGTTCTGAAACACATGACCCAGCACAGGAGGACTTGCGCAGAACGTCTTGAAAAAGCATGTCAAATAGTCCATGGTGCTGCCCGGAGAAATGGCTCCAAAGCACCGCCTGCCTTCCCCTCCCTCGCCTTTTGAACTACATCCAACGTCACTGTACGTTCTCTACATCAGTTCGCGGTTTTCGCGAATGCTACGTCAACAAAACGTCAGCCGCGTGAAGCCGCTGAGTTTCTCATGGACCGTGACAATGCCCAAGAGCCGCCACCGTACTCCGCTCTCACTGAACGGATCTTGACACTGCGTCTCCAAGGTGCTTCTCAATGACCTGATCATGACACCAGCTCCATGCCAACGTGTCGCCAACGTTTCCGTCACAGACTCGCCTGACACCGTGGCAACGTTAAGCCGACCCGACTATGTCAGGGTTACTGCCTCCCGCCGCGCCACTGAGTTTCCTTCCTTGGCCCGCCCCGACACCAACTGTCCGTTTTGACGATGTGACGCTATTACCGTGCTCCTCCCCCCCCCCCGCGCACCCGTGACACCGTGTCGATGGCACATCATCGTCGCCGTACTTTTCCTCAGTAACACTGTGTCATCAAGACACTGCTACTTCCGAACTTCCTCTCCCAATAACTTCTCCAAGACAACAACCACCTCCCAATAATGACACGATCGCAATGATGATGACGACGACAACTACCATCTCGTGTCAATGACAACGCGTCGCTGAGACCTGACTCCTTATGCCTCGTCCATGACACCTCGCCAGCCCGTGTCCATGACACGTTCTCACCAACGCAGCCGCCGGGCGCGCGCTCTCGTCGACGGGCGATAACGAGTGTCACAACTTCGGCGTCGCGTCTCCGCTCCCTGTCGTGATTGCGCTGATTAGCCAACTCGACGGACTGCCGGTAAGTTGCCAGGCCGTTAAGCCTCTGGCCCTACCGTGCCAGTCGGCAGACCCCGGTCCCAGCTGGTTGTCCGTAGCGCTGCGCTGATGAGTTCGCGAGGTGGCAGCGCGCGGCGGCACGAGGGCGACGGACTGGGGAGGTGCTGAGCGACTGCTGATGAGGTCGGCGTCGTCTGGCAACACTTGGGACTGGCGACGTTGGAGCGTAAATCGAAACCTCTCCGCCTGCTGACATTTTCCGATCGCTGGTAGTCGATGTTTTGCCGACGGGCACCTCCCATTGCGCGGAGTCAGGCGACAAGTCGCGGAGCTCGTGTACGGGGGAAGCTCGGCGTTGCCTGGCAACACCTGAGACTGGTGGTGCCAGGAGACACTAGTCTTAATTAGTGCTGTCTATTGTATATATATATATATATATATATATATATATATATATATATATATATATGGATACGCCGATAGATAGATTAAACGATGTCATATGGCGACCACAGGCTTTATTCACAATAACCAGTTCTTTGCATATGCTCAATGCTTGCTTGTCATCATTCAATCAGCACCTAATATCATGTCGATGGCTGATTAGTGCCACAGGCAAAACTAGCAATTCGCAATGTCAAACGCAAACAGGACTGCAAGGCCTTTCTTGACAATATCAAGTTTCAACTGGTCAACTGTCAGTGCACACGGAATGAAACGCTTGTGAAAGCAGGCGGCAGAGACAGATGGAAAGAGAATGTGAGCTCGATTCATGTGCGAAGAGCTCTCGTCCGGCCACATCTGTTCTCACTGACAACATGACAGAGGAAAGTTCAGAAGTGATTGCAACCCGTTTCCATTTTCACGGAGTCTTGAAAATGGGCTATTAGAGCTTGATGGAAACAACGCTATTCACAATACAATGCCAGCGCGATTGCAAACTCGCCTCTGTTATTCCACCATAACCGCCGCGCCTAGCCCAGAACAAAACCTTGCCCGCTTCCCATTGAACCCAGCGCGTCGAAAACAAGCGAACAAACTAGGACTACTTCAACGGCACCACTGGGACATCAATGAATATTTGCCGGGCGAAGAAAAACATTCAGGCAGGGAGACTTGCCATGCCACACTGGCATTTGGGCTGCATCGCAGATACATGGAGTCAGATCTCTCTGGCGTCCCGTCGCAAAGCATGCAATGTTTTGTGCTAAAATAGCCCGTCTTCAAGGAACCAGGAAAAGCTGGCCTAAATAATGATAACAAGCGATGTTTGGAATATGTCATGAGGATGTAACTCCTGGTACAGAAAAAAAACAGGAGTTTAATGCCTTCCTTGCTCATACCACGCAACGCGTGTTTTCATCGTTCTCGCAGTCGCTTACTAAGACCCTGCTGTGGTGCTTCACTTCTGGTTATCCCCACATCAGACTCTCCCACGCGGCGTCTTCTCACCAAGCTTCACCACAGGTTCACGCAAAGCCTCACGCCTCCCCACCACATCCAGTGCAAACCTTCCGCATCTGCGCTGGCGGTCATGAGCATGAACATGAACTCAGCATGAACGCCCAGCCCAATCGGTGGCCGCGTACAAACCTCAGCAAATGCCTGGAGACGACGGCCCAATCGGCGGCCGTGTGCTAACTTTAGCAGAACGCCCGGCCCAATCGGTGGTCTCGTACTAACCTCAGTAAATGCCTGGAGACGTCCGGCCCAATCAGCGGGCACGCACTAACCTTAGCAAATGCCTGGAGACGCTCGGCCCAATCAGCGGGCACGCACTAACCTTAGCAAATGCCTGGAGGCGCCCGGCCCAATCAGCGGACACGCACTAACCTTAGCAAATGCCTGGAGACGCCCGCCCCAATCGGTGGCCGCGTACTGACCTTAGCAAATGCCTGGACGAACTCCTCGGGCCCGATGTAGGAGAGACGCTCCAGCTCTATGTGGGTCAGCTGCTGGGAGAGCACCAGCGGCGAGGGGCACACCTCGCTGATATCCGTCTGCGGGTGAAGTAAATTAGGTCAGTTCAGGTCACATCAGGTCAGGTCAGGTCCGTCAGGTCATCCCAAGTTATGCTAGGACAGGTCAAGTCAGGTCAGGTAGACCAGAAAGGTTAGGTCCGTCTGTGGGCGATATCAGGCCAGGCTATATCAGGCCAAGCCCGATCAGGCCTGGCCTATGCAGATCAAGTCAGATCAGGTCAGGTCAGGCCAACCAGCGAGAACTATTTCACTCCTGGATCACGTCATATTAGCTCAGACCGAATTATGCTGGGGCAGGTCAGGCAGGCCAGAAAGGTTAGGTTGGTCTCTGGGCAATATCAAGTCAGGTCTGGTCAGGTCAGGTCAAGTCATACCAGGTCAACCAGCGAGAACTAGTCCGCTCCTGTGCTCCCCCACCGGGCCGTTTTCAATTAAGGCTAGAGCAGCGTCATTGCCAGTCACTTGTGTGCTTATTGCTGGCTCTGCTCGGCGCGTAAAAGGTTTTAAACTCCCCGGCTTAACCTAACGTAAAAGCATTCCGAATTAAGTGCTGGAGCTTCGCGCTATCGACCCCGCGACCCTTACGCGAATTACGTCGCTGTTGAGTGGACTCGCAGCTCCCTGAAGCGGACTTGAGGAGAAGGCAATGTCGGCAAGGAATTGCTATGAGTGCTGTATGCACAAGCAACACGCGAAACCGGTGTAATGGTACGGGAACGTTACCATAGTGAAACGAGCTGGGGCAGAGAAACTGAGGACGCTATAGGATGATGTCAATGGCAATGACACGCGATACAGAACATAAAGTGATGCAACTTTAACTCCCTAGCGGTTGACGAAAGAATGACTACAACCGCTAGGAGTTGCAGAGGTTAATTATGACCATGTCGATTAAAGACATTATATAACATACACAGTGCAATGCGATATAATGCCGAATACGTTCAGCACCGGCGTCACGTTACAAGAACACGGCGGCGGCCAGACAACCTGGTCAACCTACCACATTGGTGCTGTTCTGTAGCTTCACCGCCTCCGTGTTCAGCTTCTCCACATAGTCTTCGTACTTCTCCAGACAGGTGAGCTTGTCCAGCAGGTTCTGCAGCACCACGCGCACCTCCCGCTGCAGGTCTGCCGACATCACCAAAGACGGTCAGAAAGCAAGCCCCACCACAGGCCTCCGACATCATCACAGTGAGTGGTGGCTGTACAGCACTGCATCCTGGCGTCTAGCGTCCTACACCAGCCTTCCGCGGCAGCCAGCTCGGTCACGCATGCTTCAGAGCAACTGCGCCGCACGCCTACAAAAACATCTGCCTTGAGCATCACTCCGCCGACAGCAGGCCCCAACACACATTGCAGCGTCTGCTCGCACTCACGCGCGATAGGCATACCGCCAGCCGAAGCGCGCGCAGATAACGGAGCGTTTCTCCGCTGTCTGACGACGCCACAAGACTTTTCCGCGAGGGAAAAAACGCCGAGAGCACGCGCCGTCACACAGATGCGACTTTCATCATGTTTCTTGCAACGCCGGGACAACCTTACCGACATCGCACAACCGACGACTGGCCGAGTGAAAATAGACCTATTACGATCCCTGCAGAGCGCTGGCTGCTACGTCAGAGTTAACGCTTAGTTGCGCGGCACTACGTCAGCCCGTGGACGTGCTGGGAAAACAAATGCCGAAAACTTAATTACAGCCCTCTGTTGCTGCCAAATAAAGTGCGCTTACTCAACAACAAGGCCTCCATTATTTCTTTCGCTCCGCTTTCCCATTCGATACCGCTCTTCAAAATGTCCCTTGTCGGCACCACGCCAGGCTAGCGTGTCGCCGTGTGTTGCTCGCGTTAACCAATCAGGAGTTCTCCACGCCGCACAAGACGTCATGTCCATTGCAGAGGCCGCCTAATCCTTCGACAAGGCCATTGTAACCAAATGATGACAGACAGGCACTGTCGCATGCATTGATGTCAGTGTGCATTCATATGTTAGCATGCGTTCATGTGTCAGCATGCGTTAATATGTCAGCATGCATTCATATGTCAGCGTGCATTCATATGTCAGCATACGTTCATATGTCAGCATGCATTCATATGTCAGCATGCGGTGCGAGCTCGACAAAGGACTTTACGGCTTCAGATTGACAGCGTAGAGCCGAGGCGGGCCGACTAATAAATGAGTCACCTGATTTCTAATATTTGTTACTACGATATTCGCACATTGTTACAATACTCATTATTGCTAGTTTCTACAACCAATATAGCCCAAATGGCACGATCAAGGTTTGCTGCGAATGTCTGCAACACGCATTGGGTCTCAAACCTCTACAACTGCACGACTTGTTGGTTGCTATCTGACGTTACATATATCCCAAGGCTCATATCCATTATCACGACATAGCATGCGTTGACAGTGGCACGAGCCCACACATAATTTGCATATAATTTGCACCGGCACCGGCTCGAAAAAAACAATCTCACAGAAGCCGCCATTGTCTCACCTGATCCCGTCACAGACCAGGCAAGGAATTTTTGAAAGGAGTTTGTGCGAAGTAGACTAGATACACTGACGTAGATTAAGGGAAGACGCCTCGTATACTGTTGAACCCCACACCCTCCACACCCGGTAAGATTTGAAATTTTGCCACGTGCTTTTAGACGACGCATAGCGAGAAGGCTCAAAATATCAAATATATACCGACTTCGCTGCGGGTAATGCGACCCAGGTCGACCTCTACCTACTGACCTAGGCTGACCTGCACATACCAACCTGAGCTGGCCTGGGTCTACTGACTTGGACCGACCTGTACGAAGCATAGACGTCATCCAGATCATGGGCATAGCCTGGAGGCACTAACCTGGACCTACATACCTGGGGAACTCGGGCCTGCTGACCTGGGTCAACCCTGTATTAGCTACTGACCTGGGTTGGCCTGGATGCAGCGTTGCGAAATGACACGGACTTGGGCCATTACTCGCTCGTCGCGGAAGTCGTACGGGAAGGTGTCCGACCACTCTGAGAGCAGCTGGAGAACACCCGTCGCCACCTGTGGGGTCGGAGCGGCGCGTCAGGACAACGCACGTACGCGCACGCACGCACACACCCGCGCACGCACGCACACACCCACGCACGCACACACACACCCACAATGTGCGCACGCACGCACGCACGCACGCACACACGCACACAAGCGCGCACGCACGGAAGTACGTACCCACGCAAACACGGATGGCAAAAAGTGACGGAATTGAGACGGGAAATTACGTCAAAACGAAGTAGCCTTCCACCCGCGGCAAAGACTACGGCAGTGAAATTTTGAAATCGTGCCCATTTTCACGCAGGTGCAAGGCGAGCGCGAGTATTCACGAACAATTAGAACAATACACACCGGTGCGACCACTGAAATGTTCACGGATAGGAACAGCATACGAAATAACCGTAAGGGAAGCTGAGCGGAAAGCGGGGCGTAGACGACTTGATGGATCACAAGCTAGCTCCCTATAGCTCACATAGCTCACAAACGACAAGCGCACAGAATCAATACTAAGACTTTATGTGAAATACCACTTATAAAACGCAGCCAATGGCTGGTACCAGTCAAGAACGCGAGCTAACGGAAACAGACCGAGTCAGAAGGTGAGCAACGAATGCGCACCTTGGCGTTGTGGGTCCTCTGTTCCGGCGATGCCGCCTCAGTTCTCGTGACGCCTGCCAGACGTTCCAGAAGCTCGTGAGGGCGGATGTACAGCCTGGAACGGAGGGCCGATGCAGGCAGCGGTCAGGGAGGCTCGGCACACCACCAGCTCGTCACGTCATGTTATGTGACGTGACGCCATGGAGTCACATCACAGCGTCAAACAACAGCGTGATATTTAGCTGCAATGTGGCAGCGACCGTTACAGCGTTCCGGCACGGAGTCACACAGTACGGCGCCACGTCGCCGCGCGTCACATTAAGGTGTCACGTCACGATACGTCACGTTAGGGCACCACGTCACGGTATCCCACATTTAGGGGTCATGCCACGGTCCCTTGCATTAAGGCGTCATGTCACGATACGTCACGTTACGGCGCCACAGTTCGCCGCCACGTTACGGCTCCATTTCCATCCGCTCCGGGTAGCACAAGAGGTACATCAGAAACCGAGTGGTCAATATGTAGACAATAGTTTTTAATAATGTACAGAACGGCAGACCGAGGAGCAATGGCACCGCTACGATGGTACGGAACGTCATCACATGACGTTTTAAGCAACACATGGGTAATATAATATCAGCTATTATGTCATTCGACCGAAGTAGATTCCCAGTTGCACTTCAGTACCCAAACGCGATTTCAAAGACTTCAATTTCAAAGATTTCAAAGACATCAAAGCATTCCTACTTCTTCACTATTAGTCTACCAGTTGTCAGATATTTGCACGGGCACGTACTCGCAAAAATGCAAACAGTAGCGTGTGCTCGCACACAGCTAGAGATAATTCACTCAACGAGAAAAGAGAACCGAAAAAGCGCGAGAAGTTCACCAGCGTTTCACCGACGCGAAAACAAATCTATTCTTGAGTAAAACTTCGCTAAAAACATCAGAAAGTTGTCCCACACGGCGCGCTTCGGCTTCCTTGGCACTAATAGTCCTCCAGAATAGTGCTTAGAATGGCCTCCCGTCTCCCGTGCAGCACAGTGCTGCATAGCTACAACATAGCTGGGTTTACATCAGCCTTGTAAGGTGGCGTGTTTGCACCAAATGCCAATACACGGCTTAATATTGGAATATCCCGCAATAAAGACGTTTGTTTACATAAGCCTTTCAGGTGCCCGACAACAGCAGTTGAAGGAAGTGGCCCACCGTTGGGGCATATTTCAAAACACACTCTAGGGAAACCTCAGGACTAATTACGTGTAATTATAGCACTGGGCAACTTCACTGTAGCACCGTCAAGACGTCATAAGAATATCAATCTCAGTTATTTTCGAGTCCAAATTAAGTTGTCATCACTTTGTAACAGCACTATGCTTCTTCCCTGCAGTCGCAACCACCGTCATCATGACAACCACAGTGCATACCTCCACCGGTAGAGCAAAAGAGCATTTGTGATAGGCTCAGCGCGAAAGTGCCTTTTACTGAGAAGTGCACCAGTTGAAGTTTGAACCAGTACGTCACATGGCTCCTGTGATACTCTCATTCAAAGCCAACTCGAAAAGAGCCACCGTGGTAAACGCCTAACAGGAGAGAAAGCTAGAAAAAGCCTACTTTTTCAAAAAGAAAAAAGCAAGCACCTAAATAGGAGAAAGCATACAAAGCCATAGTGTATGTTTGGTTGAATTCGCGGGATAATACCTCATATGTCACATATGTTTTGTCTACAGTGTTTTCAGCTTTGCTAGCATTTATTACACAAACATTTCGAAAAAATAGGGCGTTAAAACATTGCAGAACGCACAGGTTGGAAAAAACATGGCAAGTGAAAAGCATTGCTTTTACAGTGGTGAGCAGGAGCAGAGTGAGATTCCTTCCAAATGCTCAGCTGATTCAAATCAAAATTCTGATCTGGTCAGAAGGGTTTCGAGAATACTGGTATTACTGATCACATCATACGCGTCTGGTGTAACAACTAGTGAAAACTATAAAAAGGTGAGATGCTCTCTTTAATGGGCTATTTTTAGCCTGCGGGCTTACAACGCACCTTTTTCCGGTGACGAAGGCAAACAGGAGGCTATGCTTACACACTTACGCAAGTTCTGAAAAATGGGTTGGTTTATTCGTCACGTGCAAACTAACCGTTTTCATGAGTCCACACTTTCACGTGCAGCAGTCCACAACCCACAAGCATTCCATACACAAAAACCCACTGCATGCTGTCAAATAAACTGTAGCCTTAACTTTTTGTCAATTAACTTCCGTGCTTTGGCCCCATTCACGCCCATCTAATTGAAAACATTCATACTTGAATGTCATCGCAATACTCTTCACTATCCACGCCCCCTACGCAGCCACACCAGCCAAAAGGTTGCTGTCAGCCACACTGAAAGTCCGGAGTTGAAAGCAAACAAGCGTATCGTTTCGTGATAAGGAAGTACGTCTGGCTGCCATCTGCAAACCTGCCGGCTCCTGTGGAGGCCCTCTTCATCACGGTGACGTTCCCAATAGAGTTCGAGCTCTGCCCAATGACGTCATTTGTCCACCGTCGCAGAGCCAAATATATCCCTTGCCTAATGCATGTTTTGGGCGGTCCACGGGACAGCGTTGTCCCTGCGGACGCATAGAGATAGTTGTGCATTCCAAGTCAAAGCGTGGCTATCGTGCAACTTAAGCAAAAGCACCAAGCTTTACTAAAATAGTGCAGCTCCCAGCGATCTCAGTGAAACTGCTTCCTCCGACTAAATGACGGTCACATTACGAAGGCGTCGACGGCACTCGGTTAACATGATACATGCGTTGCCGCCACGAGACTTGCAGCTAACTGAATTCAACGGACACGACCCTTTCGTTTCGCTGCGGGCATGCGGTCAATGACGTAATCAATAAATCGAAATTAATCTGCCAGTTGCGAAGTTCCGCGAAATACGTTGGGGGGAGGGGGAAGGGGGGTGAGCTGCTGGCCAGGAAAAATATCAGCCTACAACTACAACGTAGGAAAAACGAATGCCTGTCCAATTGGACATAATTCATCACTTTTCTTTTTTTTTGGGGGGGGACTACCAGTTGCATGCGAGACTACAGCCCTGATCTAGGACACATGACACGCTCATCATCGCTCGTCTCTCACCGTGCCGACAGCAGGAAGGCGAAGATGTAGGCCCTGTCCGGATAGTGGCTGCTGGTCGGAATCAAATGCCGGATCAGCTCCTCCAGGCTGCCCGAAATCAGGTCGCCGTTCTTGTAGTGCAGCTGCTGCAAAGCCACAAATGACGTCACAGCGGGAGACGTCGGCGGGGCACGCCGCGCAGGTCGACGGTTGGTGGCGGAAGGAGCCATAACGAACACCAGTTGCTCCGAGTCAAACCACCATCTCGCGACCAATGACGCGGGAGTCTCGATCGTGGTGCCTCAGAGCTCAGCCTTTATTCACCCCATCATCAAAATGGACAGCTCTATCTTTTAATGTTCACCCTAACCCGAAAAGATCGTTGGATTACTTTTATTTTCCACGTATATTTACGTTACCATTGCATTAGTGCATATTCATCTTCGTGTTTTGTGACCTGCACCGAACGGGAGCTTCCAGTCCCAACAGCGGAGCGCACAAGTGCCCCAGAACATTAGACAGGCAGCATAAAGCCGAGATAGCCAGTGGCCACGCTTTAAGAGCTGAGGCAGTGGGCCGGTGACAAAGGCGACAGCGATGGAGCACCGCTACAAGTCAGCACGATAATGATAGAGCGGAAACGCCTTAACGTCAGTTACCAGCGGCGTAATATAGAAATTGGCGAACATCCAACCAGAGCAGAGCAGGATTTTAGAGCGCGTTGTCATAATTCAGTACGCTTTTGCTTCGACCTCTGGATTTTTGTGGTTTTAAACACCTTGTACCCAGGCGAGACATCACAACTCTTGAAATTTTTCCGAATATTTTTGCAAGTTTTATAGCTCCGAAGATGCGCCTTCGTATTTCCTGCACCGAGGTGCAATAAATAATAACGCCACTAGGTTCTGATGAATCGCGACACATGAATTGCAAGGCTTGTTTATCGCTCTTTTCGACGATAAATGGCCTTCCCTGTCCGAGAAACTGTAACAAGCAGGGACCACGGAATACCAAGAAAAGGGCAGAAATGATGGCGGGCAGAAAAGCGAGATGCACACTTTAAACGGCACTGTGAGACGAAGTAGCGATCTGTAGTAAACGGACCGCTCAGTCACGTGACTCAGCTAGAGAACATCCCACAGAAAGCCAAGGGTGGCTGGTTGCGCCCACGCCTCTGGCGCAGCAAAGTTACGCAGGGCGAGGGTTAACACGCGCGAAATTTCGTGGTGTTCTGAGATGGAAGTCCCACATTAGAACTTATAAGTGACGCAAGTTTCGAGACCTTGCTATGAATATCATGTGGGCGCTGAACTCGGGGTCGGATCCATTCTAGTTAGGTGGTTGCATACGTCACAAATACTTTATTTCATTAGAATGACACCATAGTGTGGTATTGTGCTCAAACCGATATACCATGCAAACACCATGCTGGTAAATGTATGCACACGTGTGCACATTTACCATGCTGGTAAATGTATGCACACGGTTTAAGTACCACAAAGAGAACTCTTTAGAACTCGCGGTCACTCCTTACATCGCATGCAGATCCAAGTGTGAAAACCTCAATCGGCGTTCGAAGAGCTAAGTCGCAGGTCACAAACGGAGCATAACAATAAAGCGACGCGCCCAATCCAAGCTTCATCGCGGTAACCACTGCGCTCCCACAAGCCTTTATATCTGGCAGTTCATCATGACCGCGGCTTTCTGCCGCTGAGTCCTGCCTGAGTGGCGGGATCATGAGATCCTTCAGTTATTTTAATCAGAAATATAGAACTGGCAGCTCCTCATCGAACACTCCGTCAGGAGCCGTCAAACACCTTCCAGCGATGAACCCAAACGAATACGAATCGCTCGATAAATCATCGACCGTCCAAACCAATGTCCCGACGGCTCGGGAAGACTCCATCTCAACACTGGGGGCTGGGGAGGGGAGGGGGAGCTGCGCGCCTGACACTGCGCCGCGGCAAAGCTGGAGCATCGTCCATAAGCTCGTAACTGCCGATATGGTAGATTTACTGAGCCCAAGTCCTGAGTCCGGACGCCCAAGCTATTTAAGGCGGATTGAGCCCGCGATCCTAGACGGCACGATAACTGGAACGACACGCGTTCAGAGGCTCGGTGTCCCGCGGCATTTCTCAACCACGAAGAATGTGTGGTTGCACGAACTCTTGTTGCCCAGGCTCTTTTGTTTTGAAGTCTCTTTTGGTGCGAAACTTTTCCTAAGGCATACTTACAAAGAAACCCGTCCAAACGCTTTTAAGTTAGGAGATCCAGCATGTTTCCCTGAATACAATCATACATATGCAGAAGCACAATGCATAAATCCTCAGCAGACGACGTCGGCCGATGTCAAACTCGAAACACACTCCCTGTGAGTTACAATACCAGTGCGACACTGCTTCTCGAGCGTCCCAAGTGCACGACATTCACTGAATTACTGATATTTCCAGTAATCCTGAGGAAGTAAACAGCCGTGCAACACACACCAATGGGCGCAAAATGACCACAGTAGTCGGCGCGTCCCAAAACTCCAATCAACAACACGTACCAACAGACCAATCGTTTCCACCTAATAAGACCATACCACTGTCACCAACGCAGCTGAAGACGGAGCACTATCTCTAACGCAACGAAGGATTGCGTCCCAGACAACCATGATGATTAAGACATTGTCTCCAACGTCAAAGGGGGGAATAGGAAAAGTGGAAACAGGACCATGCCTGAAGTGATTGATAAAGCGTTAAGTCCTGCTGAGCAGCACCACTCCGAACGTATAGGTGATTTTACTGCCGCTGTCATGACACAACAGGGATTGCGCAACCGTTCCAGACGACAGATTCTATGTCACTACCACACAACAGGAAATTCTACCAACAACAGCGTCGTTGACTGGGTTTTTCGTGTCATTTGGGCTTTACGACGCACTCAGCCTGCAGAGGAAATATAGCGTCGCCTGCCTCCCATCCTGACAGGAAGGCCGTGCAGCGCGGAGAATCGAACCACGTGTATATGGTTTCCCAGACTCGCAGTTTAACCACTTCTCTATCGCCTCCCCCCCCCCCCCCCCTCCGAGCGTCAGCCCCACATCTGGCAACCCGAGCAGCGTCGGGCATCTGGCAACGCTGGGGCGCAGCATCGCCGCCAGAACGTCTTAACCGCCTCCCCGCCTTTCCCGCGCCCTCGCAGTAGCGCCCACCGATCTATTTTACCGGGGGGGGGGGGGGGGGGGGCACCACTGGTCACAATTACCCGGCTCCCAAGCCTCCCGGAGATAAATCATCGTGGCAGGCAGCCCGCGCCGTCGCCCTGTTCCCGAACGTCGCGCAAGACGCATAGCCAGCAGAGGCGGCGCATGCTAAGGCGTAAGACAGAGGATCAACATGGTAGCGGCCGGAGCGCTGGGACAACATGGTAGCGGCCGGAGCGCTGGGACAACATGGCAGCGGCCGGAGCGCTGGGAGCAGCTCAGCCTGCACAGCAGCGGCTGCAGCAGGACAGTGGCTGTCCACGCCACAGGGCGTAGTAAAGCTACACACGGCAGCGGTGGGTAACACGACGGCGCGCCTCACCACGGCACGCGGTAGAGATTGATGACATGACAGGAGACTGTGCCGTGGCAGGCAACCGGAGATCAATTAACATGTAACATGTGGAAAAGCTGGGCAGACCGGCGTCTAGTTGTTTTTGGTTTGTTATTATTCGCTATCGTCGTCAACGGTTAATAAGATGGGACTGCTTTCCGTGTGACCGGAAGGGTCCACCAGACTTCTCATCCGTGAGATCGTAACTTTGTTCTCAGGCCGCAGCCGAAGTCTTCGCTGTTGCGAAGCTGCTGCTTCCCTCTCCCATCTGTCTCGTGCAGCACCATCGTTTGGTGCCACATGTCTCTCTTTTCCATCCGGACAAATTTCTTCAGAGTTCTCAGCTGCCCTCGTTTAACGAGATCGCGCCCATTTCTCACAGTTCGGTCTTTCCTAGACGCATGTGACTGCCCCAGGGGACGGCGACGCATGTCCGCTGCGACCCCGATGGCTGCGAGGACAAGCGAAATTCCACCACCAGGGCTCGAACACAGGGCCTTACCGTTAACTTTGTCACAAAATACCTATTCACTATCAAGGAAACGTAAAAAGGATGAAAAAAAAACGCCTGATGTAATGTACTTCTCATCTTTTATCACGGCTTTCACACATTTCTGAGTCGGCATTTCATAGGAACCCGACAATCAATTTTCGCCAACGATTTGACGTCAACTTTCAGGGAAGCGTGCACAACAGAAGAATGCAATCCCTTCTAAGTAATCAACCATTTGGTGATTGCATTTCCTTAATGGCACATGATAGCTCCATCCGGCCATAACTTTCCAACTGCACATCTAACATTTTAATTTCGGAACTAGGACGCCAGCTTCGATCGCGCGGGGTAGCGGTCGGGCCCTTGAGTACACATGTCTACAGCATTGGCTGGCCTCCCACATAGCGGAGGGCGGCGATATACACAAGCTTCGGGAGGGGTGTTCGGAGAGGCTACCTTGTCGCTGACGTCGGGCGAGTGGACGGTGACCTTGTCCGTCGAGTGGTCCGACGAGGAGGAGCGCGGGCTGCCTCCGTTGATGTGGCCCGGAGCAGAGCGACCACGACGTACGCCCGCCTGAGAACGAAGCGCGGACACGGTCACAAGCGGGGCAGACTGAGAACGAAGGGGAAACACGGTCACAAGCGGGGCAGGCTGAGAACGAAGGGCAGACACGGTCACATGCGGAGCAGACTGGGAATCAAAGGTAAACACGGTCACACGCGGGGCAGACTGAAGACCAAGGGCTAACACGGTCACGAGCGGGGCAGACTGAGAACAAAGGGCGGACGCGGTCACAAGAGGGGCAGACTGAGAGCGAATGGCAGACACGGTCACAAGCGTGGCAGGCTGAGAATGAAGGGCAGACACGGTCACGAGCGGGGCAGACTGAGAACGAAGGACAGGCACGGTCACAAGCGGGACAGACTGACAACGAAGAGCAAACACGGTCACAAGCGGGGCAGACTGAGAACCAAAGGCGGACGCGGTCACAAGCGGGGCAGTCTGAGAACGAAGGGCAGACACGGTCACAAGCGGGGCAGACTGACAACGAAGGGCAGACACGGTCACAAGCGTGGCAGGCTGAGAATGAAGGGCAGACACGGTCACGAGCGGGGCAGACTGAGAACGAAGGGCAAGCACGGTCACAAGCGGGGCAGACTGAGAACGAAAGACAGGCACGGTCACAAGCGGGACAGACTGACAACGAAGAGCAAACACGGTCACAAGCGGGGCAGACTGAGAACCAAAGGCGGACGCGGTCACAGGCGGGGCAAACTGAAAACGAAGGGCAGACACGGTCACAAGCGGGGCAGACTGAAAACGGAGGGCAGACACGGTCACAAGCGGGGCAGACTGAGAACCAATGGCGGACGCGGACACAATAGGGGCAGACTGAGAACGAAGGGCAGACACGGCCGCAAGCGGGCAGACTGGGAACCAAGGGCAAACACGGTCACAAGCGGGGCAGATTGAGAACCAAGGACGGACGCGGTCACAAGAGGGGCAGATTGAGAATGAAGGGCAGACACGGTCACAAGCGTCGCAGGCTGAGAACTAAGGGCAGATACGGTTATAACCGGGGCAGCCTAGAGAGCGGGGGGCAGACACGGTTACAGGCAGGGAAGACTGAACAAGAGGGGCAGACACAGTCACAAGCGGGGCGGACCGAGAACGGAAGACAGACACGTTCACAGGCGGGACAAACTGAGCACGAAGGGCAAGCACAGTCACAAACAGGGCGGAGTGAGAACGGAGGGCGGACACCGGCATAACCGGGGCAGACTGAAAGCGAAGGCCAGACTGAAACGGAATGGCAGACACCGTCACAAGCGCGCAGACTGAGGAGGAAGGACAGACACGGCTTGCCCATAAGCGGGATAAAATGGAAATCCTCGCTTGGCGTCAGCTTCTTAAGAGGCAGTTCTAGTAGGCATCCTGCCCAATACGAAACTGAAACCCATATTGGCTACAATCGGTGTGGTATGCAAGCATGTGATACGTACACATTGCAGTGACATATATATGTCCATTGCGCGTCAACAGTTAAAACCAGGATCCTTAACAGGACTTTCGCGTTGTACGAAGGTACGTGAATAGAGCCTAACGAAACCAAACGAGCGTGTATTGGTTCTCGTATATCCGGCTGGAATCCCTGAGAACCTCCTAGCTTACTCTCGCAACCAATTTGCCGGGACATTTTTCCTCCAGATTTGTTGCCCTCGCGCCTAACAAAGCCCGTCCAGCCTCATATGTCTCCGCGCACGCAACAACCCGGCCACAGTCCGTCAATAACGTGTTAAACTGCAATCTCCACACAATGCCCGCCCAAGATTGCGACGAACAGCATCCCTGGTAAAACTATTTCGCGGTCAACCACCTCACTTCCGCAGGAACCCTCACCCGCCCCACACACACACGCCTAAACGACCCGTTAGTGCAACGATTCACACCAAGCGAGTATGTCACTCGGACTTGGTCATGATGTTGTTTTGCCGTTTACGTCAGACCGTCGGCACCTTCAACCCGGGGAATACCGCGGGACACACCTTCCGCAATACTTGTCAGGTACGGGCCATTAAGCGTATGCGATGTTTACGCCAAAAAAACCTGGAAAGGTCAGTATGTGTCCGCTGAAAGGAGACTGCCTCGGCGCGGCCGTGTGGTGCCGATATGCGACCTGGAATGATTCCTGCGGAGTCCACCTCGGAGTCCAAACCGGGCAAAAAACGCAGGACGAGAAATTATCCGCTCCGCTGGGATTACATGCAAGCACCAAGATCTCTTTGCCTAGCACTAGTAGAGTCAGATCCATCGGTACAAGCTATAAATTAAAGTTACATTTACGCAGTTTAAATGCGCAGACAGCAAATATACGGAGGGACGCATCTCAATAGACGTTGCGTACATTGCACCTGACCAACGCATTTGAAAGGACGAAAAATCAGCGCTGAGCCACTCTTTCGCTTCCAACAAATACTTCCCTTCGAGGGGGCTTTACGCTGCCAACAGCAACATTACTTAGGCAGCGAACTCAAGTCACACCGAACCGCGTGAGTGGCAACACGTGTCTGGGCGTTGAACAACGGAGAGCGTGCGCACGGATGGCACGAGCCCCCTGGCTCCGCTCAGGTGCGCTCATCCGAACCTGTTTGTAGCCGCTGCGGACCACGCTCCACAGAGATTGAGTTCAGATGACTCCCGTCCGGACCCCCAGCTCTGATAACCTCCATTCCAGGACCCCATCCAGATAGCCCACAGTGGGCCAAATAGCCGGCGCTCGGGGCCAGAGCGAGTCAGATCGCGCTGCCGGGCGAAGAGCACGAAAACAGCCCGTTGGCAGCGGCGTATGGCGCAGATACGGAGGCAGTAAAGATAAGGACGCATGAAACTGCCAGCCCCCGCGATCTGCCCAGCCAGCTCCCAGCTGCAAGAGAGTTGGGAGTACGTAACACCCACGTCTCACGTTCTCTGCCGCTGCCGCTGCCAACAGCTGAGACGAATGCTCTCAACATGAGCATTGGGAGTACGCAACACCCACGTCTCACGTTCTCTGCCGCTGCCGCTGCCAACCGCCCAAGACGAATGCTCTCAACATGAGCGTTGGGAGTACGTAACACCCACGTCTCACGTTCCCTGCCGCTGCCGCCGCCAACAGCTGAGATGAAGGTTCTTAACAAGAGCGTTGGGAGTACGTAACACCCACGTCTCACGTTCTCTGCCGCTGCCGCTGCCAACCGCCCAAGACGAAGGCTCTCAACAAGAGCGTTGGGAGTACGTAACACCCACGTCTCACGTACTCTGCCGCTGCCGCTGCCAACAGTTGAGACGAAGGCCCTCAACAAGAGCGTTGGGAATACGTAACACCCACGTCTCACGCTCTCTGCCGCTGCCGCTGCCAACCGCTCAGACGAAGGCTCTCAGCATGAGCGTTGGGAGTACGTAACACCCACGTCTCACGTTCCTCGCCGCTGCCGCCGCCAGCAGCTGAGACGAAAGCTCTCAACAAGAGCCTTGGGAACACGTAACACCCACGTCTCACGTTCTCTGCAGCTGCCGCTGCCAACCGCCCAAGACGAAGGCTCTCAACAAGAGCGTTGGGAGTACCTAACACCCACGTCTCACTTTCCCTGCCGCTGCCGCTGCCAACCGCCAAGACGAAGGCTCTCAACAAGAGCGTTGGAAACGAAAGATGCGTGCCGCAAATGGTGATAAAACAACGCATCTAGCGCGGAATATACAGACTTCGTGAAGGGGGGGGGGAAGGGGACAGAAAGGACGCGTGAATCTGGCTACCGAGCCCTGGCAACAAAACACTTTGGAGCTTGTCCTAACCCAGGTGTGTAGTTTCTTGATTAGAGGGGCCCCACCCCCGCCCCCCCCCCCCCCCCCCACCCCCTGAGTTCGAGTCCTGACATTAAGAATAAAGTGCCCCAAATTCGGAGCACACTTGGGAAGCACTTTTCAGGTGATTTAGCCATTTTTTTGCTCGCCAACCCCCTCCTCAACTCGTTTTGCGAAACTCTCTTGACCACAGAAGAGTGAGCGTAGAACAAAAACATTCATTCCTTGCAGCAGCAGTGCCGGCCGACATCAGACGCTAGGGCTGATGCCGAGAACATGGCCACGTTAAGCGAAACAAATCTTGAGAATTAACGAGGGGGTGGTAGCAGTGCCTCAAAGTGACGATATTTTAAAATGCATCGAGATGAGCGTCGACGAATCCTTGCGATAAAAGTGGCTCGATGGTGTGGATTTGAATGCGATGCGAGCTTATCCAATCTATCTGCAATACCATCTGACCTCACTTTGACCTCTCTAACAAGCGTCCACCCACGGCCGAGTGATCGAGGACCTCTCACCGGCAATGAGCGGACGTCCTCGTACGAATCACGGGTCGCGAAAGGCGGCGCCTCGCGCGTCGATCCAACCGCTAAATGGACACGTTTTTGTTCTTTCTGCGTCAAACAAAGCAAGCTCATTACCTGTTTCCAGTTGCGGAGAACTCTTGCGTCGCCCGTAGATGCGCATGTAAAAGCAATCAAGTTAGCGCCGCATTTGCGCGTGCGGTCTATTTTCGACAACCTCCGTTTGGTCAAGTGTTTGTTCGACGAGCTCGAATCCGGGAAGCGGCGGCGACGGCGGCGATGGCGGCGGCAGCAGCGGCGGTGCAAATGCGGATGAAATGAACCAGCGTCTCACGCGAGCGCCAGCTCGAGCGGAAGCTCCAGAACGGCACCGCCACCGCCGCCCACTGCGCAGCGCGGGACTGGGCGCCACATTCGTCACGTCGAGCAAGCGCGTCACATCCGCCGCATTCGTCATGGTGGAGAGGGTAGCAGGAAGGCGACAGCTTCAGCGGAGAGTTCGTTTCGGTTGGGTGGCTTCGCGAGCTGCGGCGACGAGGGCCGGCAGCACGGTCAGCAAGACGCTGGGCCTTATCACAGCCTCCACCGTCGGCTGGCACAAATGGCTACCGACAGGGGATCCCAAGCAATAAATCTTCCCCTCGCCTGGCCAGACGCGAAGAAGCTTCCTGATGAGTCGTTCAACTGGCGAAATTATGTCTGTCCTAG